AGGTAGTGTAATTATTTACATTATTTATTGTTCAGATTGTTGTCCTCATCTTTATTGCTATATTCATGATGTTTCAGCCATTGTACACTCCAGTCTTCAGGTGATTGGGATTTCAAACTGAACCCTTTATTTCATCCACCAGGATAGATTGCTCTAGTTCCACATGCCATGCCTCTTTCCGGATGTCCCAGTTATCTCCCTTATTAAAAAATGTATTTCAAATGTGAATAAAATGTTAAATATAATAAAAATTAGTTAACATAAAAAATGCATTGTGAACTTGGTGATTATTTTTTTTCTTTTTAAATTCAGAAATGTGAGCTACACTCCTCCCAGAGAAATCAAATGAATAGTAAGCAAACACTACAGGTATCACTCAAAGGACATTGACTTACAAGAAGTATATGCATATAGCAGTGACAATGATTGATTTGGTCTTGTTTTTGTTTTAATTGAGTTCACTTAAGAAAGGCAGTAAAGCCACTAAGACAAGGGGTTACTGGGAATGGAAGAATTAGAAACAGAAATATTACTAAAGAGCAAGAACAAAAGAAGAGTAATCAGGAGGACAATAGGTAGCAATTGACACTGCATTTAAATTTTTGAAGATTAAAATTGGCTAGAAAGCATGGAGCCAGAAGGGAGTTCCACAAGAAAAGAAACTATTAGCATAGAATTTACAGTTATATCTAGCCAACTCAACTGTAAATTGATGAGACCTTGTCACCAGTCTAGCACTGCATTTAAATTCAAGAAGTTTAGGTACCATAGCAAAGAGCTCATCCTGAACAATTAAAGTAAGGCACTTTATGGGTTATTAATGCCAAAACATTTCGGCTTGTAAAAGAAAATTTTTTGTGAGTGAATATTGCATTCATTAACAACTTTAATGATTTTTCCAGATAAAAGTCCTACTATTTAACCCATAGTTAGGGGAGGTAGCAGTGTGACAAAAGACAAAATAGGGATAAATCAAAATTGAGCGAGAGGGGTCTTAGAAAAATTCAATGCATTAAGAAAAAATTCGTACTATTAAAAAAAAAAAAAGATGAAGTGGACCTTATAAATAAAATTCTGTACAATATTCCTTCAATTAAGAAAAAAAAAAGAAAGTAATATCTTTTATCCAAAAAAGAAGCGAAAGAAAAGTTGTGGGCGAACCGACGAATTTGAACATAAAAATTTCTCAGAAACAATGATAAACACTCGTTAAAAAGTTAGCTATTAAGAAAAATAAAAAGGCGAGAATTAAATTAAATATAAAATAGCGAAAATTTTCTCTAAAGAAAAAGTATTGATTGACAAATAACCTTCGTCCATATGGTACCCCACGTACCGGTGTATCAGAGACCAACGAAACAAGTGTAGAGATTACAACAACAGGTGGAATAAGCAGAAAAAGCCTAACTGTATTTAACAACATAAGTGGGGAAGACCACAAACTAGACAAATTAAAATTAAAAATGTAAAAAATATCTATTTGTATTTAAAAAATAAATAATGCAACGTGTACCTTTTTCGAGTTTAGGAGGAGAGTGAGAGGAAATATACACGCGTTAACTTTTTTTTTTTAAAGAAATTGACACGTTTTCACAGACAACACACCACTACTCTTTCAGTTGATAGACTTTTTGACACATTTCAAAATGCAACTGATTAATTTGAACTTCTTTTTCTCACAGAAAGTTTGATTATTATTTTTAAATTTTAAAACGATGATCAATCTGATCATTAATAAATAAAAACTAACAATGTCATTCAATCAATTGAATTACAAAACTAGATTTTTATTGAGCCGATGTAGGAGTCTCGATTAAGGAATTTTAGTTTCAATACATTCACACACGATATTCCAATTTAATGAAATTGGAATCAAATCGAGTGAAACAAAAGAGCAGCCACATGAAATAATTCACAAAGTTAGTTGAACTGATGCCGGTGCGAAAGTCAAGCCTAACCTCGCCATAAGGCCACTTAACTTCAAACCTAGTGTTTGTTATCATACGGCTTAATTTGAAACAAAATAAAGTGCCTCTAATTGACAGTGAAACTCATTTCTCGACTAAAATGATAGGTCATAAAGAAGAAAAAAATCCATAATAATTTCAAACTTATTCTTCAAAAATAGAAAATGATGTTCGTCCACCTGGTGTACTGCAGATTCAAAGAATCAAAATCAAAAACAATTAAAGGCGTAGCCTGCTTTCTGTGCAAAGATTGATTAAAAATTAAAATTTTACAACATTCTTCTGTTAGTCTTCTTGATTATTAGGACAGGCAAGAGAAGCAGAATATTTATAATTTAAAAAAACGGATGTTAAATTAGTACTGTACATTTTAAATTTTCACTTGAAATGAAATTTCGCTTAAAAGTAAAACTTGGAGACCGGGTTTACATGTTACTGTTGATTACTGATTAATTAATTTTACTGACAAATGATTTGTTAAACAAACCAAATAATTAGTTAAACTGAAAATTTAGTTTAATGTCATAAAATAACAATCTTTCTTTATTGTTTAACTGAACAGTTATTTAATTAAAAACAGTATTAAGGTCAAGAGTCCCAAAGTGAGACAAAAAAAAAGTTATTCAGACAAAAAAAAAAAAAAACCCAAAAAACCCTGGTATTTAAAGTGCTAAATTTAAACTGCTGATGTGTAAAAAAAAGCAAATACGACAAAAGATTTAAAGTTTGTTAATCCTACGGTATTAACTTAAGTTACATAAAATTTTATAACTTGTAATTATTGACAAAACATATCTGCAATTAAAAAAAGTTTGTAAAAATTGGAACTACCATCTAGAATTTTTTTCACTTGAAGAATTGGAGTTCAGTTTAAAAGTAAAACAGATGGTGAATAAAAACAGAAAAAAAGAACTATAACTTTGATTTATTTTACTACAAAGTGAATAGATACCGTATAGTACGTGGTTTTAAAACATGTTAAATTAGAAAAACTTTAAAAATAATTCAGAATTAAACGTAGTAAAATTTTTTTTTTATTTCAAACTTCATTAAAAAAGAAACTTCTATACAAGAGCCTCCCCCTTTCTCACAAATCAGTATAAAATCTAGGACTTGTATTTTCTTGACAATTTCGTTCAGCCTAAAAAGTAGTGACATTTACATTTAAAAAAACAAAAACCAAACGAAATTTTGGCATACTTTCCCTTGCTATTTAAACACTGCAATCAGATACAATACACACGTGCATATATAAATAAATATTTATAAATAAATAGTATGATCATGGTAGTTCGAAGAATCAATTTGTAAGGTAAAATGGGATATTGCTTTTTTTACGCGAAACCGGTTTAAAAGAACAGGGTATCAAGACTTGGAGGAGGCAAGTCCAAATTTGTTGAGTGAATCTAACTAAAATTTACATATTAATCATTTGATCTTTGACTTTCATTGAGATGTCATCATCACAAACAATAAGAACTGAAATTTAAGAGCAAAGTATTTGATCAAGCTATCACCCAACAAAAACAATAGTGCTTTCATTATTACTTAGTATTCGTAACTAAAATGATTATGTCAGTCAGGAAAACTACAGTAATCAAGTTACTTAGTATTCGTACCTAAAATGATTATTTTATGTCAGTCAGGAAAACTACAGTATGAGTAATCAGATCATATCAGGTTTAAATCGAAGTGTTTAGTTCGATTGATAGAAATGTTAAAGGAAAGTCAACAATAAATAAAACAAGAAAGATGACAATTATCCAAATCCCGAAATCAGGTACCAGATGGAATCAATTTAAGTTAAACATAAGTTCAGATTTTATGGTTAACTAGTCACAAAAAAAAATAAAAATAAAATAAAATCTCACTCAGGACATCTGACAGATGAACACTTTTACAATCAAATCAGAATAATTAATTATATAAAGTACAAACAATGCTTATTATTAAAAAAAAAAAAAAAAAAAGAATCACTATTATTATTTTTTTTCCCCTAAATGAAAATGTTAAAAACATTTAGTAGGGTTTAAAAAAGTATTGATTTTAATAAAAATAAGTGACTGATTAAGAAATAAACAAATGGGTCGACTGTGTGAAAGGAATTAGAAAAGTGTATACGTGTCTTTAAAAAGAAGAGAAAAAAAAGCTCAATGAGGAACAGTTGACAACGGGGACTAAAACTACATTCCTCACAATTTAGGAGAAAGATGTATTTAAAAAGCAAAAAAAAAATAAAATAAAATGAAGTTTTCTTCAGGTCTTATATATCGACATGTCTAAACTTTTCAAAAAGGAAGAAAAAAAATAAACAAACTAAAGCTGACGTGCTTTACACGTAGTTTAAACATTTGAAGATTTGAAATTGCCTTAGGACAGCACAAAACCATTATTTGTATAAAGAATAACATCATCAGCACTTTAGCTTTAGGAGTAGAGGAAGCTCTATTGAGAGAAATGTAGACGTGTCTCGAGGCATACAATAGAAAATGTCTGTAACAGTTTTTTTTAAATGTTGGGATATCTATTTTAATTTTTTTTTTCTTTACATTTTTACCTTTACATAAATTAACCCTATTAAAGAAAAGGAGATATTGATATGATCAAAACAAAACACTTATTCGAATGAAAGTTAACAAGTCATGTATTTCTGTGGGTTAGGGTATTAAACTGGACTGGAGTATTTACTTTTTAAAACATATTTAGAAATAATAATGCTATTTTTTGAGTTAATTCAATATTAATAACTGAACTTGTTTCACTCTTTTTAAAGAAGTAGATATTTATTATCAAACTGAAGAAAAGTTACTTAAATCAATAAATTTAATAAGATTCAATTAAATTACTTAGACAAGGTAACGAAGATAAAGCATCTTGTAACGTTTTTTATTCTACTTCAACTGATTAGTTAGAGAGACACATTTCACAGAGATGGATCTTTCAAAGCTGATAGTCAATTTGGGCTGTTTACTCGTAAAATAGAAACCAAAACAAAATTTAAAACACAACAACCGGCTTTTTTTTCAAGTTTACCTGAAACATGAGTCCTACTATAAACACCATGGCAACACAGGACACTATGTCAGCATGGTTCTGAATCAAATATTCATGGCTTAACACTGGTGGGTTCTTGGTTCGCTGTCTTCGTACCCCCATTTTTTTTAAATTGACAGATGAAGAGTTGTGAAAAAATAATTCCGCCTTTCCTACTTCTTGTATTTAAAAGTCCGGTCCTTTCTTGTCAACGTGTAAGAAAACCAAAGGAGGGATCTTTTTTTTTTTTTCCTTTTTGAATTGGTCGATCGACAGTAGTTGGATTTTTGGTCTCTGTTCTTTATCTTTATTTTGGGCCTTTTGACGAATATCTCTTTTTTTCTTTTTAGGATTTTATTTCCTAGAAAAGACACTTTTGCTTACTAAATTACTACAGTAAAGAATAGCTACAAAGGCGCTGTTTTTCGGTTGAGTGTTAATGTTTGTGGTAGGACTTAAAGTTAAGCAGTGACGGTGAGATGCCCAACACGAACACCGCCTTACTGATTGATTTATCTAAGAAGGTCTGTGTGCGTATAGAGAGAAAGCCTCCTGATATGGTGATGATGACAATGAGGAATAGCAATCAAAAATATGGTTTATATAGTGAGGGGGAAAACTATTAAAAGTTGAGAGAGAAGGAGAGATTAATGGGAATAGTGGGAGTAAAGATTTGTATTGAAGTAGGGGAAATGTGTTCCTGTGTAGTGTGTATGTATAAGTTAAGTATTAATTAGTATGTGTGTAGTGTGCCTCTATGTAAGCGTCCGTTTTATTTGTGAGTTTAAACGTGTACATGAATATCCAATTGTGAATGTATGTTACTCTTCTTGCCTGTATAGATTTTTGTGTGTGCATAAATACTTTTAAGAGTGTTTTTTTTATGTGCCGTGTACATGTTATTTTCTATGTATGTATGTGTGTCTAAGAGTTGTATCACAAATTTCATGACAAAAATACACAAAGTTAGAGTGTAATGATCTGAGTGTCAGTTGAGTACTAAATGGAATAAATTATTTTTTATTTAAAAAATATAAATATATTTAAAAAGGAAACTTTGCATAAACTTTGGAGATTAGATGAAATATTCAAGAAATAACAAAAAATAAATAAAGCCCCCTCCCCAAGAGAGGAAGGTGGAGGAATTATTTAAAAAAGTAATCACTTTTAGAGATTTAGAGAAAGAGGGAAATGAGAAAAGAGGAAGAAAAATAACAGAGGGAGTATTTTCTTCCTTTGTACTGGGAAAATACCGGAAGTTGATGAATGTACGCATGCGCACCACCAAGAATTAAAGCGGAAGCGATGACGTTGCAGTAAGTCTACGTGTGATTGGTCAGTTAATACCAACTCATCGCGGGAGACGTGAATTTTGTTCTGCTGCAAACATTAGAAAAAGCCATGTGTCTTTAAGTTTGTGGTATGGCTCATTTGTCTGAAGATTTCTTTCGTTCTTCTCCAGACTAAGTAACTAATTGAAACAGATTGTATTTGATCTATACTTTTTCAAATTCAGAAGATTTGAGTGCACTGAGAATTTCTTTTATTGTTAGAAATATGAAATCTTTCATAGAAATAAAATATTTGACCCAAGCAGAATAATCTCTTTGTCCAAGTGAGCATATTATATTTAAAATTAAAATGACAGTGTCATGCTATGAGAGCATTACATCAAAATGTTTTCAAAGGAATCCATCAGGGCAAGGATTAGAGTGGCTTACAAAGAAGATGAGGATTGGAGAAGCTTAATAGATTTCCTGAGAATTATAAAACCAACAGATGAGTGAAGCAAGGGTGATGAGAGAAATTTCAAGTCAGTCACAGATTTTCTAAAAGTAATGGAGATTCATATGGAATGTTTTGCCAGATCAATCGAAGTCAGCCCTTTTCAGCAGTTAAAGAATTTTGAAAGATTTAAGTATTGATAATTCTAAAAAAATCCATCTGTAAACACCTGAACTTTTTATTATATATGATAAAATATGTTTGTCATTAATCAGAAGCTGTCAACTGCCAAATGAATAAGAAAAAAAAGGAAAAAAATATAACAGGTACTTGCATACAAGACCCTGAGCCTGCCTGCCTATAGTTTATGGATGAGACCAACATTAACCTCCATATAACTTAGAATAGTGGCAGTTCCCAAAAAGGAATCAGATTCACATCTATTGCAGCATGATCAGAGGGTGCAATATATACCTGATAAGTGCTCTAAGTAATCTTACAGCTACAAAATTTTAAAACTTGGGCTATATAGTCCCATATTAAACCCAATTGCGTCTGTGTCATCTACTATAAAGACATTTATCAAGCGGAACCTGAGAGAGAATATTCAGACAATATTGGTAGAAGAGAATTTGAATGGGATTTCAAAGGACAAATATTGTGTAAGAAAATTGGGCAAACATGGACTTTCACGCTTGCAAAAACAGTGTCAAAAGGACAGTTTTTCCATTTTCCATACTGTTTTTATTTTAACTACTTTCACTTTTCAGCTTTGTTTAGTGTTTTAAAAAGTGATAATTAGAATTGTAATAAAACCTAATTATATGGTGAAAGTGAATTTATATATTTTCTTTGTTCTTGTATAGTGTACACTGTACTTTGCATTCTTTAGGGCTTTGTAGTCACCTGCTAACAAGGATACCAATATTGATACCGCAGCATCAATTACAGTATATCATTCAAGCCATGTAGAATAGGTACTATATCACCTGGTTAGACAAGTTATATTTCCAGCTTGTATGGTCAGATGGTAGAATTAGTGTCTAGGGAAGACTACATGAGGCTATGGATTCAGCCTCTCAGTGGAATGTTATGGTGAAAGTTGGTGATGATCCTGAAATGAGATAGGGCATATTCCATTGGAGTTTGTAAGGACCACTAATGAAACTAGTTTGTCTTGACAAGTATAACATGCATCCATCTTGTTGTAGATTATTTTTACTCTTTTATACTTGTCATGTTTCTCAGGGATGATAGTTTCTTCCAGTAAGATAATACACCCCCATTGTGTATGGGCTACACTAAATTTGTTCCAGTATGACTCAACTGACTTTTAGGTACTCTACTGACCCATACATCCACGAGGTTAAAACCCCATGCATGGGATATGTTGCATTTATCACTAAATACCCTGTAGCCGTACCAAGTAAAAGACAGCTCAGTTATGGATAATACTGGAATGTGCCTGGATAAATATATCCAAACAATGACTCCAGCACCTTGTAGTTTCCATGCTATATATATATACATAGACACCATTATTCAGGTGAAAATAGGAGTTACACATGATTGAGTAGTTGTCTCAATTTTTCTTTGTGCTTCAGTTTCAAGAACTGCAATATCAATATCACAAATATTTTTGTTCTTTCTTCTTCAGCCTTTGCATTTTTATTGTTTAATGGAAGTACATTATCATCCTTTCATGAAAGTTTTCATTTGCTTAATTTTTCAATTAGTGGATTTGGAGATTATCAAACCAAAACTCTTTTTTGAACAACTTACAGCCCCCTATCAAATATTGCAAATTTTTGCTTAGGATCTTATATGTATTCATTCTGTAGGGTAAATTGAATTTCTCTTAATTTTCACTTACAATTATTTGGATAAAAGCTGCACCTTTCCATGCTAGAGGAAGCCCCATATCAGAAAATAGAATTCATGTCATGAGACTAATTGAATTATCATGACCAAGTCAGTCTCCTGACATGAATTTTCTTGAAGATGTCTAGGCAATTTCTTATAGTGATATCCCACAAGAGATGATAGCAGATCTTATAAATTCAATGCTTAAAAGAGTAAAACATCAACTTATAACAAATCCCCCAAATTTAATTTGCATATTAAATGATATGGAATTGTTTATATTGTTCAATGTTTTTATTTGACATATTTATCACTTCAAACATTATTTTTAGTGGCTACCCATATTTGAGTCGAACATCCTGTTTTTAAACAATGTTTATTTCATCTACTGGCCTGCACAGTCAAGTAAGCTTAAAAGAGCATATTTTCTTAAGTTTTCTCAAATGCAGAGTCCAGTATATATATATATATACATCAGATTAAAAATAAAAATCCATTAACTCTTTAGAACTATATATATATATATATATATATATATATATATATATATAATAAAAATATTATATATATATAATAAAAATATTATATATATATATATATAATAAAAAAAAATATATATATATATTTAATAAAAAAAATTGTCAGAGTTCAATTAAACCAAGGAACAGTTCCTTATGAGTTTGTATGAACTAAGATGAAAAGAAAGTATGTACATTTCATTTACACCCACCTCCCACTGTTCGATACATTTGCCAATATCCTTGCTTTTCTCCTCCTCCTCTTCTATCACACTTCATGTCGTGTGTTTATTTCTTTATTTTTAAATTATAAGCATTCATTAATTTTTTTAAAAAAATAAAGTGTTAGGAAATCAATTGACTCATAAATATAGCATACCATAAAAATATATTCTTATCATTCATATATATATATATATATATATATATATATATATATATATATATATATATATATATATACCCAAGTATATGATTGGTGTATATGGAATAAATTCCAATAACCAACAATTACTATTCTTAAAAGAGTGCTCAATATAATTTTTTAAATAAATAATTATATATATATATATAATATATATATATATATATATATATATATATATATATATATATATATATATATATATATATATAATCTTTTAAAGCCATTTGCTAACCTGTGACTGATATTTTCATATGGCTTATTGTATAGTCGCATGTTGGTATTTGATTCCTACCAGCAGGGTAACCTGAGTGAATGAGTGTGATGTTCGATAAACCTGAAACTCTTAAGGATCTTAGAGCAATATCACTGATGATGGGGTCTCAGTCATCTTACAGATGTATTTCTAATCTATGTATGCATTTGTGTATATATGTGTGTGTGTGAGAGAGAGAGAGAGTTCTTTGTGGAGAAAATGT